GCTTTAGTGTGGCCTTGTTTGTGATCATTTGGGCAAATGCCCAAAAGTGGGATTGCTGGGTCATAGGGGAGCTCTATGTGGAGTCTTTTGAGGAACCTCCATACTGCTTTCCAAAGTGGTTGAACAAGTTTACACTCCCACCAACAATGCAGAAAGGTTCCCTTCTGTCCACATCCCCTCCAGCATCAGTTGTTATTAAAGTTCTTGATTATAGCCATTCTAACTGGGGTGAGGTGGTATCTCAATGTTGTTTGCATTATCTTGCCCATGTAATTGTAACCCCTCTGTACAGTATTTTCACAATAAAAAAAATGTACTCATTACCTTGCTCATGTAATTGTAACTCCTCTGTGTAGTATTTTTCACAATAAAAAACATCAATAAAAAAGAAAAAACTCTGGGTTCTTGGCCAAAGCTTGCTTGGATGAAATTTGAGCCAACTTACTGTAAAAATGATATACACAACAGAAAATGGGATTCAGTGGCTGACAGTATTCTTTCTCTGCTGCTAACTACCTTCTGTTGGAAGTATAACTGCTTGAATGAGTGTAGATTGTGTGTCTGACACACTCCGCACCTATTTATCACCTAGCATATGGAAGAGTCTCATTCCCCCAAGTCAAAAGAGTTTAATAAGAAAGTGGTGACTTCCATAAATGGTCACAGAAAGAACTAGGCCGTGAATCCACTGGAAAAGTCTGGGCCATGGTGAGGCAGCATGGATCAGTGTGGGCAAGAGTCATGGAGAAACCATCTTTACCAAGTCCTATTGGAATTCACTTCTTGCTCAGCCAAAAAAGGTGCCATCTGCCCCAAACCTTTCAACTGGCTCTACCTCCCAAGCCACAGGATTCCTGAAGGGCCCAGGACAAGGCCACCTGTGGGTATACATTTAGGTTAAAGAGCCCCAACACACACACACACACACACACACACACACATACACACACACACACACACAAACACACACACACACACACATTATTTGGAATTGCATTACACTTCAAAATTTAAGCTTATTGTGTGTAGCAGCCTGGAAAAAAAAAAACTCACACAGGATTTCAGAGTCACTGAACCCCAGAACCCTAAACCCTGGAAATTTCAAACTGAAAATGAAAAGATTCAGAGGACTAAAGGAAGGGTAGAGGATTGGTATGGGGTTGTGACTTTTGAGGAGCCTGCTTGGGGAGGCTCAGCTAATCAACAGTCTAAGGATGCAGCTTAAGCCACCAAATTCAACAGCCAGAGAGAGAAGGTAAACAAAAGGCATGTCATTATATAAGAAAAGAGTCAATCTCAATCTCCAAAGGCAAACTGGGTAAAGATTTTATACAAAAGGTGGCCACTTGCTGGTGGCTTATACTTGTAATCCTAACTACTTAGGAAGGTGAGGTTGAGAATCACACTTCAAAGCCAGCCTGGACAGAATAGTCCATGAGACTCTTAGCTCCAATTAACAAGCAAAAAGCCAGGAGCCAGAGGTAAAGGTATTCCTCAAGTGGTAGAGCACCAGCCTTGAAAGAATAAAGCTCAAGCCCCAGTGTCAACCCAAAATAATTAATTAATTTAATTAAATGAAGTACACAAGTATCTCTAGGCTTCTGCTGCAATATTTTGGGGACACTAACCAAGTTCCAATATCCATTACTACCCAGCTAGCCAAGAGGACTTGAGAGACAGAGATAAAGGTGGCCCTTAAGTCACTGCCCCTGTCCTATACATGTCTTTCTTTTCCGACTCAGGCCACTAAGCCATGCTGGGCCAGTTACCCACCCTCCTCCATCCATCTTATTCTTAGCCTCTGAAGGCGGCTATCAACTCAGTCACCAGCACTCAGAATCCAAACCTTGTTAAAAAATAAGACTCAAACTCACCAGTCACCGCTTCTCCCTTCCACCATCATATAGGTAAGTAAGAGAAAGAAACAGGAAGGTTGAAATTGCAAAGCACTTAGGGAGTGTTAGGAAGACAATGAATAGCCTTTTAGGAGTGAAGAAAACTGGGGAGGAAATGTGAAGAACCTATGGAAAAATAAAGCAACACGAAGGGCAAAGCACCCAAGGAAAATTAAGTGAACACTAAGGGCAAATCCACCATGTGGGAATCTTCTATAGGGGAATCCTCCTTTTAGGCTCCTAAGAATGAAAGCGGAGCTTACACCTGCTGCAGAAAATCTAGATGCTCTGATATCACACAACTGCTCACTTCTTTTTTTTTTTTTTTGATAGAAACATTCTTTTCATTATTATTATTATCTTTAAGTAGTTGTACAAAGAAGTTTCCATTCTATAAAACAGTGTATGAGTACAAAGTGTCTGACAACAATGTCTCCCATCTCTCAATTAATTAATCTCTTAATTAATATGGTGACTGCTCAGCATAAAATAGGAAACAAAAGGCATGACAGAGTAACTTTCCAAAGATCTCCAAAGTTCTAAACTAGCACACAGATATACTTCTAAGTGCAGTAACTAAGTAATTCTGTATCACCACAGTGAAAAGCATGTCCTTGCATCTCTGATGCCTCCAGGAGGGTGATGTTTGGGCCTAGCACACTGCTGTGTTCCATAAGCAGACAGAAAAATCGGGAGGATCAAGGGTTCAGGTCAGCCCCAAGCCAAAAAGTTGTTGAGATCCCACCTCAACAGAAAATTCAGCAGGGAGCAGCAATGTGCACCTGCCAGCCTAGGACCAGCAGTCCATGCCAACAGGGATGAAAAGTGAGATGCTATCTCAAAAAATAACTACAGAAAATAAAGAAATAAGGGCCTGGGTCCCATGGTAGCATGCCTGCCTTGCAACACAAAGTGCTGACTTCAAACTCCAGTGTAGAAGAAAAAACTTGCCTCAAAAGAGGCATTTTTTAAAGTTAAGCCAATGACTGACACTTACTGCTGCTGCTTCAACCTTTAGAAATAGTGACTTTTACAGATTAAACCAACAGGACGTGGTCTACAGAACACAGCTATGTCTTTCTTATGTCAATATTCTCACAGAGTCACTACAAAGTTGATAAAAAAAAAAGTATAAATTCCTAGAAGTTCCTGGATTATTTTTTTTAAAAAGAGTTAAAAAAGCAGGGGCCTAGAATAAGGCTTTGTGGTACAGTGATTGCTAAGCATGCATGAAGCCCTGGGTTTGATTCCTCACTAACACATAAACAGAAAGAGCCAGAAGTGGTGCTGTGGCTCAAGTGGTAGATTAATTGCCTTCAACAAAAGAAGCTCAGTAACAGTGGGCAGGCCCTGAGGTCAAGCCCAAAGACTGGCCAAAAAAGTAAAGAAAAGAAAAGACACATTGCTGCTCTTACCTAAAATTCTAGCTGCTAAAGAGGCTGAGAGCTAAGAATCGAGGTCTGGAGCCAGCATTAGCAGACAAATTCCAAGCAATATCACAAGGCTCTGAGTTTAAATCCCAGCATGGTATTAAACACACACACACAAACACACACACACACACACACACACACACACACTCACACCACATATCAAGCCATACATTGGTCAGTAAGATGGAGTGAATGCACAGAGTGACACCAGGAGGATATTCTTAGGAGAGGGTCACAGAGGCTCAACAACTATGTACATCTGGTCATATAAAATAATATTTATCAAAATGAACTCCAGGAAAAATGTCTTTGTTGCTATTTTCATTTTCCTTTCCTCTTGTCTTGTTCATTTATCTGTCTTTGGGAGGGTAAGGTGGAACACCAAAATGGAGGGACAAAGAGTGAACAAACGCAGCAGAAGTATTCAATAGGCAATGTTGAAAATGGACTCTACAACTTATTGGGTGGGGACTAGAGGGAAAAGTGGGGAGAACGCAAGAGAAGGGATGACATTGTCCAAAAAGGAATGCACTCGTTACCTGACTTATGTAACTGTGACCCCTCTCTACATCACCTTTACGGTAATAATATTTTTTTAAAAAAACCTCAGTGTATATTTTGTGAAACAATTTCTCCTCTGCTCACCTCCACTGCAGGTTTTATCATTTGGTTTTCTTTGTTTATTGTGCCAGTACTGGGGCTTTAATTAGGTCCCAGGCCCTGTCCCTTGTGTTGGTGCTCTAACCCTTGAGAGCCACACCTCCACTTTAGGCTTTTTGATGTTTAATTGGAGATAAGGTTCTCTTGGATTCTCCTGCTTGTGCTGGCCTCAAACCTTTGTCCTCAGATCTCAGATCTCTCCTGAATAGTTAGAATTACAGACATGAATACCTATGCTGGGCCTACTACATGTGTTAGTCAAAGCTAGTCTGAACCAACCAAATTAGTATTATCACGTCACATACTCCTTAAGCTTGCAAGCCCTAGCCTAGTAGACAGAAGCCAGACTGAATGTGCCCAGCTGTCCCAAGCACCTTCTGCTCTGCAAGGTGGACCCATTGCAACAATGAGATGTACAAGTCGTCATGTCAAAAATGAACTTTACAATTTTAGTAGGGGAGGGGGAGGATTGGGTGGGGGGGGTGCAGGGAGAATGGGAAGGGATGGGAAGGGGAAACAAAGGAGGAGGCTACAATGCTTGATAAGAAATGTACTCATTACCTTGCCCATGTAATTCTAACCCCTCTATATGGTATTTTTACAAAAAAAAAAAAAAAAGGCAGCCAGGTTCAACAATTTCCAACCTTTTCCAATTTCAACAGGATGTCTGCTAAGACAAGCCATCTGCTTGGTGGTTGGGGACACTCAAATGTGGTTGCTGAGCTTCAGTCTACTCCAGGCTGCTGTTCTACCATATGAGACACACTTCCACTTCAGCTTTTTTCTGGCTAATTGGAGGTAAGAACCTCAAGGACTTTCTTCCTCAGGATACTTTTGAACTGAGATCCTCAGATTTTGGCCTCTCAAGTAGCTAGGATTGGAGGCATGAGCCACAGACACCTGACTTCTAGTAGCTGTTTTAGATGGAATGGTCAGAGAAACTTTGCAAACCCACAATTCAGCAGACTAAAGTAATGGAAATAAGAGAAAGCAACTCACGTGCAAATACAGAATGTGCAAAGGCCCTGGTGCCTTTGAACAAGAAAAATGGGATGTGCTCAGCATGGCTGTACTGGACACATGCCATCCAGCACTGCAGCCAGTAGCAGGTCCTGAGTTTCCCCAGACTGCGGCCTGAGCCTAGCCCTGGCTCACACCACCCACGAGTCTGGTTCCTACCTTTCCCCACAAGTCCAGCCCCAGCCCCAGCCCCACCTGGAGTCCTCATCCTTATTCTTTCACAGACTACCAGTTCACCTAATTAACAACAAGCACACCAGAAACTGAGGACATGTGTAATGGGAAAGGCAGCAGGCCACACGATCTGTTCAATCTACACTTCAATACATAGGACAGAGATTACTGAGGGTTAAAATTAAGTGTACTGAAGATCTGACCTGCTAACTTAGCAGGCTCCCCGGTTCTACAAATGATGCGACAAAAATCCTTGAAACAACCTTGGAACCATGCAAACCTGGAGCAGAGAAGGCCTCAATAGCTTCTGGCAGCCTTTGCAATCTCCAGGTGCAGAGAACTGGACCAGGCCCTCAGGTCCCTAAATTGCTCTCAGAGACTGCAGACTCGGTTACTCTTGTTTTCTAGCTATCTTCTTTCAATGCTCAAATTTTCCCACTGTCCCTAACCTCAAGTCACAGGCAGGAGCCTTTGCCTCTGGGCCACAACCCCCTCTCTAGGGTTCTGGGACATCCTACCCCTGACAGTGAGATCCAAGAGTCCCTAGCAGAGGTGGGAGGCCTGTGCAAGCTTAGGCCTGGGGAGCTGTCCAGGGTCCTGGGCTGGCCCTGCTGCAGGAAGGCCCTTTGGCAATAAGCCAGGGCTGCTCCTGAAACCAAAGGCTCCTGACCCTCCTGACCAACTTCCAGGGGCGACAGGATCAGTGGGAGGGGAGGCCCTGGCGGCAGAGCCCCCTGTGTGGTCAGCCAGCCTTGTGCACCCGCCTCCTAGCGCGCTCCTGCCAGGGCTCGGCCTCGGACCAGAGTCGTTATGTTTCTCAGCCCTCAAAGCCGCCCCAGGGTCACCAGGCCGCGCTTCTGCTCGGGCTCCGGGAACGCTAGCGCGGCGGCCTCGTCCTGCGGGGCGCGCCCGCCGGGTCCACGCCCACCCCGGACCAGGCCCCCTCCCGCCGCTCCCCAGACCCTGCCCCGCTCCAGTCCCTCCATTCCGCCTGGAGCCTCCAGCCCGCCATCCCGACCGGCCCACGCCGGTCCCCGCCCCTCGCACCCCGGAGCCCTCAGCGCCCAACCCCGGCCCCGGCCCCTCCTCGCCGGCCCCGGCAGCCGTCTCCCCTCCCCGCTGGCCCGAGGTCAGCGACCCCGCGCGGCGCCTCAGGGTCTCCGGACAGCGGCGGCGGCTGCGGAGGCGGAGGCGGGGCTCCCGGCATGCTGAGCCTAACGACTCCACGCGCAGTGAATTGCCAACTCGCGGCTCAGCGCGCCGGGAGGCCGGCGAATCGCTGCTCCCCGCCGGTCCTGCCGCTCCACTCTGCGGGTCGGGCAGCGCCGCGGTTCTCACCTCCCCTTCCTCGGCCGCAGCCTCCGTCTGCACCCGCGCAGAGCACCGCGCGCTCCCCGGCGAACTCCCGCCAACCGCCGGCCCCGCCCTCCCTCCCCGCGCTCGCGCCCCCGCCCGCAGCCCACCGCGCCGAGGGCGGGGCCCGACTTCCCCACGTCCCCACCTCACACAGAGGGAACCGCCACAGCCCGCGCCCAGACTGCGCGCACGCACCGAGGGCGCAGGGAGAAGGCCGGCCACCATCCACCTCCGACCCCGGGGCCGCCGGGGCCGCCTGGGCCACCAGCAGCGCCTGCAGCTCTGCACAGGCTTCCATTCAACCTCGCACTCGGAGACGACTGCGGGGCTTCACTCAGCTTCTCCCCTTCGGCAGAGCAGAAACAACACAGAGCCGGTTGCCCTGCGTGTGCTCAGTCACTGCAACCACCAGCATGTCCACCTGCCTGCCCTCCTGCCAGAAAAACACCGCTGGAACTAGCCAATCAGAGGGCAGCTGGAAAGTCGGGAAAGGACCAGATGTTCCCAATAGTTAACTTTGCGGTCAGGCAGACTAGGAGCCACCAATGGGAAGAGAGCATTATTTGTTTTGTAAATGTCAACCAATCCTGTATTTGCCAAACTGGAAACCCCCTTTACTTGTTTGTACCCCATTATAAAAAATCCTGTGTGAACTGAGCTCGGGGTCTTCGCCTTTGGCTGCATCCATGCTGGCGTTGGTCTGGGCTCAAGCTTGCTAGTAAAAGGCTCTTTGCTTTTGCAATGGACTTAACTACTCTGTGTCTTTGGGGGGTCTCAGATTTGGGTGTTACAATATGCTAAATTGAAACCCTTTTGCATAACTACTTGAAAGTGGTAATAGAGTCTAAAAAATGTAATAGAATAACTTTTAAAACAAATACAAAACCTAAGAATCCTTCCAACTTTACAATAAATGTTAACAAATAGACTGACCATCCATTCTTATCAGAGAAATTATGCAGAATATTTCAAGGCCCAGGTATTGGGGGGGGACACGGTGGAAATCCCACCTGCACTTGTAGCCAAGTGACATTGGACATCTTTTTAGGCTTTGTCTTTTCTTCTAAGCTCTAAGATGAGAGATGTTAGGATCCGAATGCTTCTCTCAGACAGTGCTGAGCTTATTTTAATTGCCCAACAGATGGAGCCAATGGGAAAATGTATTTATAATGGCTATTAATGTATTGTAGGAATACCCAGTAAAGATCTCAGTACTCCTTAGGCAGTATGTCTTTTGTAAAAAGTAGAGAAATAACTCACGGGAAGGGACTGGGGAAGAAACTGAAGGAAAGTGAAAGAAATAGTGACATTGTCTAAAAGAAGTGACATTGTCTAAAAAAAGAACATGTAACTAACCTGTTTCATTTGTAGCCACCTTGGGCTGCTTTCCAAAGGCCTGGTGTCCTGTAGTAACTTCTTCTAAGCCTGACAATCTGTTCTCGAATGAGTCTACAATTTCGGGCATGAGTGAGCCAAGTCAAGAGTAAGGAAAAATCACTAGGCTGTTTGTTTTCTGCCTGAAGGCAGAATACTTAAATAGCATATTATATCCATGAGCAAAGGGTTTTGTACACACACACACAAACACCGCCTCACACACACACAAAAAGAAGAGAGGCCTTCTTTTAGAAAACTACACTATGGATTTGAAAAGAAGAAAGAGGTAGATTACTTTAATGGCAAAGTTACATTATCTTAAATAATCATCATTTGCATATTCATTTATGGAAAATAGGAAAGTTTTGTAATATTTGGGAAAGATATTTCTGTAGTTTATGTCAAAGAGACTAATTATAAAGGAAAAGGAATTCAGCATCCAGGCAGGCAGTGTGTTGTGGCTATGTTGCTTTTTAATAAGGTAAATAATAATGAAACACTGCAGACACTAACATTCCTGTCTGAAACTTTACATCTGAAGATGTAAGAATGAAGTAAAGAAAAGGTTTCTTTTATTGAAGTCCAATTCCACAGCAACCCGAGGAAAGATCTTCCATTATACCCATTTTATAAATGAAATAGCCGAAGAGGTTAAGTGGCTTGCCCAAATGACAGTGTTATCAAGTGGCAGAATGAAAGTGAAGTCAGATTTCTCAGTTCCAAGCCAGTGACTCTCATGCTGCAATAGCGTCATACAGAAATGGACCCAGTCTCATGGAGACTGCAGAGTCTTCCAGCCAGAGACTGTCACATGACTAAACTGGACCTGGGGAAAAATCTTTCCTGTCATAGAAGAAAGCAGAATTGGCAAGTGACTGTAGATTATAGACACACAGATTACTGAACATGAACTAATTTGATATTAGTAGGTACATACTTAGTGTCATTTAGGAGCAGGGACTGTGCTTCAACAAGACAAGACCCCTGTTGTATTTTAGTACATTCCATATGGGAAGGAAACAAGGGAATTACATGTATTTATTTACTAAAACATCCGTTGAGTAAGGCTGGTCATCTTATTTGTGTGTGTATGGCCTGGGCACTGTCCCTCAGGTTTTGTGCTCAAGACTAGCATTCTACCACTTGAGTCACAGCTCCACTTTCAGAGGGTTTTTCAGGTGGTCTATTGGAGATAAGAGTCTCACTGACTGTGCTGCCCAGACTGGCTTCCAACCACACATCTTGGCTTCCTGAGTAGCTAGGATTACAGGTGTGATCCATGGGTGCCCAGCCACCTTACTTTTTCAGTAAAGCAAACCACCACTGTGGTAACAGTTTTGTAAGAATCACAGGGATGGGATAGGGTGTTTGGATGGGGTGCATCCCTCAAAGGCCGGTGTTCTGAAGGCTTGGTCAGCAGTCTGTGTTGCTATTGAGAGCCTCTGGGAGGTGTGGCCTCATGGAAGGAAGTTAGGTAATTGGGGGCGAGCCCTGAGGAACCCCAAGCCATCTGTGTGTGTGCCTCTCTCTGTCTCTGTCTTCCTATATCTCTCTGTCTGCCCTCTGTCTGTCTCTCTGTCTCTGTTTCTGTCTCTCTCTGTCTGTGTATCTCTCTCTCAATCCTCTTGTCCTCAGCTGCCACGAGATGAACAGCTTTGTTCCTCTATTCTACAAACCATTCTACAGTCCCTGAAACAGTAAAAGCCAAGCACATGGACAGAAGCCTCTGCACCCATGAGTCAAAATAAACCTTTTCCTCACTCATTTCAGGTAGGTTATCACAGCCACAAAAAGCTGACAGAGATGTTAGGTATGGATGAATGTGAAGGCGAAAGATTATACTCTGATTATACTACTTCTTGGCCTCTGCTTTCAGTGACATATATGAAGCCATCTCAGTGTTAATAAATGAAGTTTCATCTGAATTAATTACTTCACAGGATTTCATATCAGGAACTAATAAAAAAATTCTTCATTATCAATGATAATCCAATGAACATCTTTGCATATACAGCTTAAGCATTTTTCTATTATTTTATGTACATATTCTCTATTTTATCCCATTGTTTATTTCCAAAAATATCCTAAAATTCATTTGGGCTTTGGCTCAGTGATAGAGAACTTGTGTAGCATGAGAGGCCCCAGGTTCAATATCCAGAACCAAAACATTAACATGTTATTTAAAAAAACCAAAAACCTTCAGTGCTTGGCACTGGTGATTCACACTTGTAATCCTAGCTACTCAGGAGGCTAAGATCTGAGGATCACAGTTCAAAGCCAGACTGGGCAAGACAGTCCGTGAGACTCTTATCTCCAGTTAACCTCCAGAAAACCAGAAGTGGTGCTGTGGCTCAAGTGGTACAGTGTTAGCCTTGAGCAGAATAGCTCAGGGATACCACCCAGGCCCAGAGCTCAAGTCCCACAGCTAACAAAAACTAAACTAAACAAAGAAAACCTTTGGGGCTGGGAAGGTAGCTTAGTGGTAGAGTACTTGCCTAGCATGCATGAAGCGAGGGGTTCAATTCATCACTACCACATAAACAGAAAAGGCTGGAAGTGGCACTGTGGCTCAAGTGGTAGAGTGCTAGCTTGAGTAAACAAAGTTCAGAGACAGTGCCCAAGGCCTGAATTCAAGCCCCATGACTGACAAAAACAACAACAACACAAAAGCCCTTCAGACTGATTGTTGAGTCAAAACATGGATGTGTTGAATATGTTGCTACATATAATTGTCTATTGGCAATATAATAGCAATAAATTAATAAGTGAGCTTCCTATTCACATCTGTCTCTCTTTCTAAATTCCCATTGCACATTTTTAGGCCAATATTTCCTGTCAGTTATTGTATTAATTTCTAAAACTTTAAAAGTTACCCACTATCTACAAATGCTTCCAAGCACTGGCTAACACTCATTCCCTTCCAGTCCTAGGCCAGCCTGCCCCTTATGGCTTTAACTCTGGTTTTTCAGTATGATTGCACACTTTGGCTACATTGGCTTCCACACAGGTGTAACATTCTCAGTGCACCCACAGAATGAAATGTTAAACAGCTCTGAACAGAAGTCTGTCTGGATATTACTTGCTAAATGAAAAAAATATATACTCAGAGTATCAGAGCTCTCCATATGAATTGTGTTTGTTTGACTTCTATCCTTTGTAATTGAAATGGGCACATATTTTCTTTGAAAATTGAAAATGTCGTCTATAACACCTTGGCCATCAGCCTTTCTGGACATATCATTTTTCCTTTCAGTCTCCTCACTTCCTGTTTGAGTGTCTGTCACTCCAGTGGCACTTGGCAAATAAATTAATGCAACCAACTCCCCCATGAAAACCATAAATTCATGCACAGGTGCTTCTGTGCAATGCTATGTGATCCATAAAACCCCAAAATCATTTACCAGAAAAAATGACTATTTGTGTGGATGGTGGCTTGCCTGTCTGCCTGCCTACCTTAAACATTCTGCATGACTGAGTTGTCCCCTTTGCTCTCAGAATAGAACAGCTACTGTACACAGCTGAATGGCATTTGTCTTGCTTGAGGAGGCAACTGTTCTGGGCAGGCCTCATCTCCCAACTTCCTTTCTCTTTTCCCATTGAGTGCACATTGAGTGAGCTCTTAAGCAAAGGATGGATTTCAGCTTTTCTTATCAGAATTTGCCTTCAAGGCTGACGCAAGGGATTGCTCAAAGGTTAGTAAAATGTTCAAGGAACCCACTGGTACTTGTTTTGTTTTGTTTTAAGCCACTCCCACAGGCTATTCCAATAGGCACATTTTCATAAATCCAGTACGCAGGAATAGATGACTTGCACTTAGATACTTCCTTTTTGGACATCTTGAGCATAGAGTCAGAGACTATATTGAGAACATTTAGTCTAAAATATTCCAGATTCAGAGGAGGGTATTAACTATAGTTCTTCAGTACTCCTCCTACTTGCATGAAAAAAAATCACATGTAGGGCTGGGAAGGTGGCTCAGTGGTAGAGTGCTTGCCTTGTATGCATGAGGCCATGGGTGCCATTCCTTAGTACTACATAAACAGAAAAATCCAGAAGTGGCACTGTTGCTCAAGTAGTAGTGTG